CGATGACGCATTTTAGTCATGTGATGCAGTCATGTGACCAATTAAACAAAGATAGCGGAGTGCTTTATACAGCAGTTGTTTTGATTGCTTTCAATTTTGACAGCGCTATTAAAGATTAATATCAGTTTATACATGCTCCAGATAGCTTTTCTTCAAATTCTTTAATCCCCAGGACTGGAACGTAAGCGTTTTCGTCCGTTTCAATGTGGACGCACAACTCTGTGAAAACAACTGAAAATGCAAGTGTGGACGCAGAGCGTTTTCAGATGACAACGCCGTTTTCAAATCCAGGAAGTGAATGAGCTAAAACAAATAGAAACACAGTATTCCATCCACCGCCCAACAATAATCTCAGTTAAAGTCATCAATGCTCCACCTGCACTGTGTGCCTCCCACACCCAAGTTTTGCTTCAGCCAAGCTGTGTTCCACTTGGCCTGTCCATATCTATCATCTGCCTCTGATGTTCCACAGGCTTGAGGGTATAGAGTATGTATGGGGAGTGTGTGTGTACTGTGTTCATTTCTGTGTGTCTCCATGTGTGTGCGAGTATTTGCATATGTGTGCATGAGGGTGGGAATGCACATTTGTGACTGTGTGTGGCTGTTTGTCTGTGTGTCAGCTCAGATCTTAGACCACCTCTCTCAGAACCTCACCCGCTGATGCATTGGTCGTTCTCAGTGTCCAGGGCTGGGTGCTTTTAGTTTCTTTTTATTTTGTTTTCCTGTGGACACTTTCAGATGGTTTTAATTACTTGTGTCACAAACTAAATTATATCTTAATGTTAGTTGTTTTGGGGACTTAATGACCTTAATCAGATCTGTGTCTTTTTACACAGCTGATATAAAGCTGTGCATAATCTGTGTCAGATTTTACCACATCACCATCTTGTGCTTTTACATTGAGTTTCAATAATTCCTAGCAATGCTTCTCTTGGCTTAACTGCCACAGAAAAATCTAAAACATACAGCTCTGCTATCACTTTTAACATAAAGGAAGACAGAAAACTAAACAGCAGTGGTGTTTGTAGGGTTACTGAAGTTGGGCTATGTGGTGGCTAGCGACACAGCTATGTTAGCATAATATAAACAGTGAAACTGGAGGGTGAACGCTAACATTTTTCCATTCGATGAAAGTTAATGTGATGGTTCCCGAAGGTTAGGGACAAATGCAATCGCATGGCAGGATGCTATAAACTGACAAAACTTCAGTCAGGAGAACAACTGAGATAATCCATCCACATTACAAGGTTACTCATTAATATACTGCTGCATGGGCTGGGCTGTAGTTATATCGTAAGGTTTTAAAAACTCAGCTTTAAAATGAATAGCTGCAATGAAAACCGAGAGAGGTCGACAATGATCAGGGACTGAATTTAGGGGCTCGTTCCAATGAAATAGAACAAGATACAAAACATTAAAACATGTTAAAAACACAAAGCCTTAATACATGCAGATTAGTTTTGACCTGGAAGCAGGGTTCATACGTCATCACTTAAAGACCGGATATCCCACCTGTTGTGAATGTTTTAATGCAGTACAGTTCTTCTTCTTATTATTACTTTTCACATCCTGTTTATGACAGTTAAAATAAGCATATTCATATAACAAATACATTTGTCTCATGTAAACTGTATATGGTGTTAAATAGGCCTATACTACTGTGCTTTAATGTTGGTCATAAGGGTGGTACATCAAGAGCCATATATTTTATGAGGGTGTACTCAGTGTGAAAAGTTTGAGAACCACTGGTCTAATATAAAAT